AATAAAAAAAAAAAACATGCATGCAAGGAAAATAAGTGAAAGACACGACGGGGCGGGGGAGGTTAGCGCTACGCCGCAGGAGGAAGCGCACGGGAGTGTCGACGCAGGTGCCGCCCCCGACGCAGGTGTGCGCTATTGAAGAAATCAAGCCTCTACCGGAAGCCGGTACCGGAAACTGTCGTCTGTGTCAGCGTCTTCGTTTGGGCTTCGTAACAGAAGTCTAAGAAGATGAGCAGAGCGTTTAGGAAGCATCGTAGGGCGTTAAATTAGGGTCAACTTTCACCAAACACAAGAGCACAAACTTTACAGCAACGTATACTATACGTATAACGGCGCAGAGCAAAGTGAACGAGTGGCGGACAGACAACGTGAGGAACTTCGATCTCCTTTAGGTAAACAAAGCTACCAGCGATGTCTTTTAGTTTAATTTTTTACTATATTTTTACAGTTTAATTTTATTTAGGTTAGAAAATGTTTTTTATCACAAAAATAATGAAACTTTTATTTATTTATTTTTTACTGTAAAATACCGCGATATAGAAAAACTTCCGCGGAACGGATTTTAAAAAAATCCGCGATGTACTGGGGGGAGCGAAAGGAGAACCGCGATATAAAGTTTTTCATAAAGTAATTCTTAAATTACATAAAGGAGAACCGCGATATAAAGAGGGAGCACTGTATTCTTAAATTACGAGGTCAACTTTACCGTCTTCTTTTCCTGTGTTGATGGTCTGCAGTGACATGCTTCTCTGGATGAGCTTTGAAGGCTTTTTGATTTTGGACTTCAGGGTCACTGGTTTCTCCACGATCTCAAACGAGTCCTCCAGCTCACTGCTTGCAACACTACCTGTGTTTGACACTTTGGTGATTGGTGCGGGGGTCTGAGGACCGACAGTTTCCTCTATAGTCTCTGTGCCATGACCGGCCCCTCTCCCCTTTAAAAAGTGCCTGAAGGAACTGCGGGGCTTTTTGTTGCCAGGTGACACGTTCTTCTTCGGCGAGGGTCCCTTACGATCCTCCTCCTCCTCCTCCTCTGTGTGTAAATTGGGACTCAGAGCAACCTGGTCCACCTTTGGTCTGACGTTGTTGCTGGTATTAATTAAGCTGCTCTGCGGGCCTTTCATCTGGCTTTGCCCATCTAGAGATTCTGTTGGGGGGAAACTTGAAAGGTCTTGTAGTGAACCCGTGAGGCCTGTACTGTTTCCGAAAACCAGAGAGTATTTAGGATTGTGGTATTTATGAGCTGGCACCTTGAGGTCAATCTGTCTGGATTCCCCAACCGACACTTGAAACCGAGACATTGAGACGGGCAGAGGTAGGACTTTTTCCACGTTCGGCTTCGTAACCGGCTGAGGGATGGGAGGCTTAGTGATGTTGAACTCCTTGTAGAGATTGACCTGTTCCGACACGGCATACAGCTCTCTGAAATCGATGTCGAAGAAGTCAACGGTCTGTCCCGTCATCACTGTAATCGTACTCCTGTCGATCCGAGACGAAGTCCAGGTGAAACTGGAAGAGAAAGAGGGAGTTTATTGATTGCCTACTGCAGTGGGTCTCATAATGTGGTACACGTACCATACATCTTCAATTGAATAAATCTGAAACATACCATTCACAATTAATACATTTATATATAAAAAAAATGTTTAGCTACTTGTGAGATTATGAAATAGGATGTCTGGTCTTTTTTATTTATTTACTTGCAAGTTGAACGTGGAATGAGGTAATGTTGGTCATCATGGTGGTACTCAGAGAGCTCAATGTTTCCTCAAGTGGTACAGAGTATATAAGGTTTGAGAACCACTGGTCTACTGCATACTTCTCAAAGCATCTTTGAAGTACTTTGCACTTGGGATGTAACTGAAAACACCACAAATAGTCTTACTGTATGAGGAAATTAACAGGTGAAAGTACCTGTCAATTTATAGCTATACTGCTAAGTGTTTGACTACAGTAGAAGCTATAGCAGCAGTATAAAAATATTTTCTATACTGCTCCTACTACTACTAGGGATACAGGATTATGAAATAGGATGTCTGGTCTTTTTTATTTATTTACTTGCAAGTTGAACGTGGAATGAGGTAATGTTGGTCATCATGGTGGTACTCAGAGAGCTCAATGTTTCCTCAAGTGGTACAGAGTATATAAGGTTTGAGAACCACTGGTCTACTGCATACTTCTCAAAGCATCTTTGAAGTACTTTGCACTTGGGATGTAACTGAAAACACCACAAATAGTCTTACTGTATGAGGAAATTAACAGGTGAAAGTACCTGTCAATTTATAGCTATACTGCTAAGTGTTTGACTACAGTAGAAGCTATAGCAGCAGTATAAAAATATTTTCTATACTGCTCCTACTACTACTACTAGGGATACAACTGTGTCAATGTATGTATGTATGTGAAAGATTACAATATTGATACATAGCAATATTTAAATGGACTAAATTTTTTTGAATAGTGGAATAACCAAATACAACTTACTTCGGAGTTCCGTTTCTACGGTGCAACGTAACTCAGTTTTCAGCGTAAGTTGTAACTCACCCAGTGGTAACATCATAATCTAGGACGGGATGTGAAACATACGGCCCGCGGGCCGTAACTGGCCCGTTAGGGGATTCCATTCGGCCCACTTGATTTA